AGGGAAAGAAAGTTGGATTTTAGGATCCTTCTTGTTTTTTTCATTCAGGGAGTTGAAACTGATAGTGAAAGGCTTGTTTCAGTGAGGATTCAGCAGGGTTGGGCTGAATATAAAAAACAGATATGGTTTGACATGATGTCTCCAATGAAGGACAGTGAATGGTGGCTAGGAAACTTCCTGTCAAGAATTATCAACCTCCTATGAATATAGCACTAAAATAAAAATGGAAAATGTGGTTATTAGCGGGAAGGAAAGTAGAGCCTTAAGAAACGACCAAATCACCTGGCCTGGTATAAGCACATGCATGCATCCATTAAACACGGCTTCTGGCTATTGGTTGTGAACACAATGTAACTCAAATACTACATGCTGCTTTTTTTCAGACCTGAAGGACTGAGTGCTGAATGCGTGATCTAAAGCTCCTTGATATCAGTGGAAAGCTTCCTGTTGCTTTAAGAAATCTTTGAATAGAATTTCCTATCTGCTATGTTCTGGTCTCATCTGGTATTGAGTAGATTCTGGGATTCTCTCACTTACTGAATTCTTACTGCCAAAATATGGTTAACTTGGATGCTATCCCCTCTGAGACCACGACACCTTGTAGGGTGGTAGAATTAGGCTTTCAGAATACAACTCAGCAGCTGTCCTTTTAGATGGAGCAGTCTCCTAGTGTCAGGGATTAAACTGAGGCTTCTGGGTCTTATGGCCTGTGACCCTTCCGTGTCGTTGAAAAGATCTAGTGCCAGTAGTGGCATAGAGCAGCTGGTATTGACCAGGAACTCCACTTTCCCCAAAGAGAGAAATAGTGCTTCATATGTGGTGATGTATATCTACAGTAGATTTGACTTAAGAATTACCTAGGCCAGTCTGGTTTTAGAGTACCTGGTGCTTCTGATATTTGCAAGGTGTAAGAAGTACAGTACACATGTTTTAGTAGGAAGGGCAGTAGATTTCAAATGTATTTTACTCTGAGTTTTAATTTTCATTTGGCGATTTTAATTAAAGGAAAAGAAATAGAAATGCAAAGCTTGCAGGATGGTGGGGAATTTTCACAATAGCCAGTTTTAATGTTGACAACTGTATTCTGTCATGTTCGCAATCCCCAGCTAGCAGGATTGCTGCCTGTTGGGCTGGGCAGCTGCAAACTCTTGAAGGGCCACTGTGTGACAGCTAAGAGGTGGGTGCATGCAGAAAGGAATTGTGTCCTGTAAAGTCAGTGTAGCCTTTGTTTTGGCATTCTTGGGACAGAAGATGCAATGGAAGTGCATAATTACTTGGTCTAGATTCAGCACAGCTGCAGATAACCATAAACATAATCTGAACCCCACCTTCCTCGTGTATAATGAGCTATAAACTGGTTTAGGGCAGAGGACAGTTTGAAGCACTCCTAAGCAGAAAAATAAAATCACTCAGCCTATAATTCTTGGTTCTAACAATAGTTTTATTCTTCTGAGTTCTGTTAGAAACTGGACCTTCATGCAGATTCACCCCCTCCATGTGAAAGTCTCCCTCATTGTATGCCCTCAGTGGTAGCTCAGGAAGAGTTTAGGCTGATGCCCAGATGCATCTCTTGTTCTCTGTTGGCAGGGATCTTTGGACAGCGATTGGAGGACACGGTACAGTATGAGAGGAAGTATGGCCAGCGCTTGGCCCCACTGCTGGTGGAACAATGTGTGGATTTTATTCGGGAGCGAGGTCTTACAGAGGAGGGGCTCTTTCGGATGCCTGGCCAAGCTAACCTTGTCAAAGATCTGCAGGATTCCTTTGACTGTGGAGAGAAGCCCCTTTTTGACAGGTGAGTTGGCATCACCAAATTCAGTCTGGTTTATCTGTGACACGTCAAATCTGTCAGGAACGGCGTTGCGATGGCTATCCTAGTTAACGTGTTCTTTCCACATCTTTGTTCTCTTCATCTAAACTGCTGCTTGGGGTTTCTTCTGCCTGGTGTTTGGTGTGGAGGTCTCCATTCAGCTAAGTGCTTGAGCAGAGGGAGAAATTGAGCCCATTAATCTGGATGAGGTTACTCCAGTGTTTCAGCTTAAGCACCCGTTGAATGAAATGCATGGCTAGATTTGGGTGTGACATACTTAGCAGTTGGTGGGATCCCACTGTAGAAATGGATATGACAGAGGTGAACTAGATGTTTTGCTGCTTGCAGATGTTGCATTCTCCCTTGACACAACCACAGTGGATCTGCGCACAGGCAATATCTTGACTCTTCCCCTTCCTTTGTCACCAGGTTTCAGAATAGTCAGTACCATCTCGCACATCTTCTCTGGCTCTTAAGCGTGCAATGTATAGAATTGGTCAGGATGTCATAACAAAGCGCTTTCTGACCCCAGAAGTCTTCTTGGCCAAAATTATTTTTTGATCCACAATTTCAGCAGCTGAGATGGAACATTTATTTCAGAACTGAATATATCTCTTGATTCTCATCAAAACTTGAGTCAAATGTTTCTGAAATAAAAATGGCAATTTAGCATTTTTCTTCCCAGTATAAAAATGTTGATATAATCACTCCTTCCCTGGTACAAAGACATGCTAGCTGCCTTTTTGTCCTACTGACCCTGCCAATGTCAGGGAGCAGCAAGGGCCAGCTGCTTTGCAAAGCAGGGTGAGCCAGGAGCCAAGTGTGGTAACAAGGCTGGCAGAGACAGCAACACAGTCCAGTCATCCCCAGGCAAGTCTACAGTGATGAGGCAGGTCCAAGATCAGGCTAGGTTATCTGTCCATGAGTCAGGGTCCATAGCCAGACGCAGACATGGCTGTGAGGCAGTGGGAGTTGTAGCTCACACACAGGATAAATGGTAGAGGCTAAGCTTAATATTGGCTCCCACGGGAACAGCATCAGCCATGGCTCAGAGCGCTTGGTCCAAGGTCAGCAAGTTGAGGGGGGCAGCTCTCAGCTGGGCTATCTCTGTGTTGGCCCTGAGCCCAGGCAGTCAAATCATCAGGAAGGTGGATGCCTCCAGAGCCCTTGCAGCCAAATCCCATCCATCCTCTATAACTAACATTGCCTTCCCTTTCTCATATGTACATGCTTCCCAGAGTGAAGGTTGGCATTGTGCTAACCTAAACAGTGCTTTGAGAAATGATCTAGCAGAGACTTTGAACTGCAGGGATACTTGGATCCAAGACCATTGTGTACATCTGGCCAAATCTTTACCACAGGTCCAGAAGTGGGATCAGATCTGGGATCTTGACTTGGAGACTTGGCTCCATTTCTTGCTGGAGCTTGCTTACTTAGCGCCACTTTCCCAGGTGACATAGGCAGCATCTGGTGTATTGCCAGCACATTAACCTAGGGGATCACTTCCACTGGATCTGCAGCCAGTCTTGACATTGCCAATAGCATCCCTGCCTACTGCTGCAGGAAGAGCTAGCGCTCTCCTGCATGGGCAGCACAGTTTGGTCTCATCCTGGGAAGAATATCCTTAGAGTTTATTGGAAACATTCTTCTAATTCTTCCCTCCCCTCAGCTTCCAGACCACCCATCCTCCTTTCTTTGATTCTTAACCACAGTCAGTATTTGCTCCCTAAATGGAGGTGTCAAATATTTAGAAATATTTCCATGAAAAAAATAAAGTTTGAAATCATCATATTGTCTCACTTCATCTTTTCTTCAACAAAATCTTTGTATTTTTAACTGAATGTCTGGGTGTTCTAGTTCAGAATTTGAATTATCTTAATTCATGTGGAAGCGAACAAAGTTATTTTGGAAGACGCTGATATTCTGGAACAGGAGTATCTACAGAAGGAATTAATTAGGAATGACAGTTTTATTTTCATGTTTTACCTTAGTCCAATCCATACTAACTTCATTGTCATGAAGATAAGCCAAGTCTCCCCCCAGCATTTTTAAACCAGAAAGCACCTTTATTTCCATAAGCGTTTGCACTGGTTAAACAGATCAGTGATAAGTCTCACCTTAACAGAGGTAGTAAAGATCTCCATGAAGGATTGACTGCCTTTTGAGTAGTTGATTTGGAATCTGATAACTGGAGATTCAGTACAGAATTAAAGGAGTGTGACAGTTGAGGGTCCCCCAGCCATTGCCTTTCGCTCTTTCCACCTTGTCCACTGTGACTTGTAGGCCCAGCTGTCTGGTCTTTGATATGTATAGTCACAGATGGCAACAAGGGAGAGGCAGTTCCACCCTGGCTAAGTAAAATGCTTCTCCTCCTAGTTAGCATAATTTTCTCTGTGTGTAACTAAAACTATCCATGTATGACTGAGGATACCTAGGCAGTGGCAAATATTCCCTGCAAGTGTGAAATCCATATGCTTGTTTCCACATCAGGTCCAGTGAAAGGAATATTTTTTTTTTTTCTTAGTTGTGGTCTGTGCTTTTGGATGTCTTTTGTACCTACAGTGATCTTCTAAATGCTAGAGCCTGCCTGCTCCATGGTGGATTGGATTTCTGTGATGACTGATAATTAACATATTTATTTTTAAAAGGCTTGTTTTTCCAATTTTGGTTTTAAATGCATATGTATAGTCTCATGAAAGGCCAGGTGTTGCTGTTTTGGAAGCACCTACAGCAGTCCACTTCTATTGCACTTCCATGCCACTGAAAGTTTGGCTGGATTTCACACGGCCTTGTGGATGAAACAGTAACTGCAGCCAGCAGACCTGAAGCTGTAGTCTGGACTCTGCTTCTGAGTGGTAGTCATACCCACCATCCAAGCCTGAAACTCCACAATAAAAAAGAAGAAAAGAATAAGTGTCCTGACTTCAAGTGAAGAAAACCACTGTGTGAAACTCTGGTATTCCCAAATATAATGGAGCTCTTTAATAGGAATACCATTATCAGGATTAGCAGCAAGTGGTAGCTGCTGGCAGCTTCCTATTGTAATTTCTCCTGGTTTGTTTTAGCTGTGTGTTCTAAAAATGCTTAAAAACATACTAAGCAGACGAGATTCAGCTTTTAGAGAGGTGAGGATTTGAAGATCTGTTGCCTCATGGTTACTGATATGTTTTTCTCAGAGACTAAAGACTGTCAGGGCAATGGTGGGTAGTGGAGAGATGGTAACAGAATCTGTTTAGACTTCCAGTGGTCGAAACCTTTGAAGAGGTCATCTGCAAAGATTAACAAAGTTGTACAACAGGACACTTGGAATGAGGGAGAGGTATTGCCATGCATCAAAAGCTGGTAGGAAATGGAAAGGGATGAAGAGTTACATCTTCATCATGGGATCTGATGCCTCAACTCCAATTTAAAGGAGACAGAAGAAGAAGAAATTCCTGGAGTGGGAGAGAAAAGAAAAACTGATATCCCAGCATAACAGATGAGCTAGGAAATGCCAGATACTCCAGCCTGGGGGAGGAGATATGACCCACAAGCTGGGCAGCCATGGCAAATGGCAATAGAGGCCCTGTAGGAAATGCGGCTTCCTCCTTTTTTTTTCTGAATGACTGACCAGGACACTTCAGAGCCTGGCCCATCAGACACAGCTGGGTGCTGGCTGGGGAGAGTTATCAGGCAGGAGGGATCAGAGGTTACGTTTGATTGCACAAGAATGCAGAGTTCTGTTGTCAGTACTACATGATCACTGTGCGCTTGCCTGGACTGTATTGCTTACATTCCTGATCCACATTGGCTGAGGAACCACAGTATCACCCTACCTTAAGCAGTATCATGGGCATATCCCTTCTGCTGCCTGTATTGCCTTAGATGCATTTATATCTTGACAAAATGGGAGATTTCCCTTGTTCCCAGGTAGACCCTTCTGCCTAGTACAAACATGTGGCAGAACAGCTTCCTTCCGTGTGCCTACTTTGTCCCTGTCCCTAAGAGGGACCTTGATGCCCCCCCAACAAAAAGCATCAAGCTTTGGGGTAGTGTGGGTTTCTAAATTTCCTTCCCTCTTCTCTATTGCAGCAACACGGATGTTCACACTGTGGCGTCCCTCCTGAAGCTTTACCTTCGAGAGCTGCCAGAACCTGTCATCCCCTTTGCCAAATATGAAGACTTTCTTTCTTGTGGACAGCTGCTCTCAAAAGATGAGGGAGAGGTCAGTGATCCTTCTAATCTGCTTCCTTGTACCTGAAAGATTGTTCCCAAGACTCAATGCAGTACAGTTTTCTTCTTATCGCTCTTCAGTCCTGATATAAATCGATGAAGTTCCTGGGAACCTTCTCCTGAATTTTCCTGAAGCCATGAATTAAGTGCTAATATTTTTAAAGTCTGTCTTGTAGCCTGATGCTTCTTTCTTCTGAGTAAAGCTGTTCTGTAGCATAATCAGCAAGAGATGCAAGGTAGGAGATCTGGGTTCCTTTCCCAGTCTTTGCTGTTGACTCACTAGCAAGCTGTATGAAGCCACTTCGTTTTTCTTTTCAGTTTCATATATCACAACAGCATGTTCTGCTTCCCACAGTTTTTGGTAGATGAGATGTGGATCAGTGTGAGGGTTTTTGTATTTCTTAGAGGAAAGGCACTACAAAAGGACAGGCCATGATATTATCACAAAATGGGGGAAATAATGCTATGAATACTTTGCCAGAACCTTCTTATGATGTTCCTCTCTTTGGTTTCCAGGCAAGTGAAGGGGCTGACAAAAACCTCCAAGTCTGTGGCAATCATGGAAATTTTGATTCACTGCTTGGGAGGAGCAGGATAATTTACAATTACAATTAATTGATCTGTTTCATCTATATTGTTCCTCTTGTGGTGATGCCTGAGCTCTTTGCTGACTGCAAAGGCACGTTGGATCTGGTCTAATACAAGTGGAACTGTGCCACCTTCTAAAACGAGTTTAAAGAAGCTGTAAGAGTTGTTACTTGTGTCAGCTAAAGAAGCAAAAGCCTGAGGGCTTATAAGTCACAGGCCACAGTTCTGTCTCTTTTCTGTGTGTGGCCTCAAGAGTGTGCTCACATCTTTGTCTCTTGTGGGAATTGTAAAAGCTTTCCTTACAGAGAGCCTGGGGTTCACCGTTAGTTCCAGTGGCAGAAGACTCTAGAGAGATTCAGTTCTTTGTGATGCCCACAGTAAGATGCTTCTTTGCATACATTGAGTGTAGCATATCTGATAATGTCATTTTTTTATGGGTAAGTTTGCTACTATCCGCACTCAGATGATGCATCCTCTAGCCAGCTCTGAGAAAGCAAATTTCTGTGCATTACACAGCATATTACCACACATGGATATGCATTTGCATCCTGGACACAGCCACATCAGTGTGTCAGTGCAATAGGGTTGCCTTTTAATAGGTACAGGTGTATGTTTACTCACTCCCAAACCTGCTCATTTTCTGCCTTATCCTCAGTCAGCTCGGGCATCTCTGCAGGGTGCCTTGTTACAGACAGTATGATGGTTGATTTCACAAGAAACAGCAGCATTTCTAAGGCAGTGGAGCTTTCATTTTGGCCATAAGATGTGCAGACTGGGAAGTTTTGGATCTATTAACCACTATTGCACAAGAATAGAGACACTGCCAAGTTGGGTAAACATAATTGTATATCAATTGCTTAGCTTATTAACTGCGTAGTTTGCCTGATTTTGCCTGCACAGGCTGCAGCAGTTTGTGAAGCAACATCTGTGTTGGTTTTGTGGGAGCAAGGCCAGACTCAAATGACTTGTAGTGAAGTATTCTCTTTGGACTAGAAAGGTGATGAGAAGCACTAGATAGCCAAAATGAAAGCTTACAAAATACGGTACTGCTGATAGCACAAAGTTGTCTTGTTAAGCTGCTGTTGTAAACATAACCTTTTTTTTTGGTCAGGAAATCTGGAACCTCAACAAGGGCTGTTTAGTTTGTCAGAAGGGAAGGTGGAGTGCACACACCAAGGGTGGATAGGTTGTACATGCACAGTAGCACGTGGAGCAGAACGTAACACAAAGCCAAACCCAGCCTGTAGGGCCTGATTCACCTCTCACATGGAAAGTCTCCCTGCTCAAAAATGTGATTTCATTGCAACCACAATTTTCTAGCACAAAATGATAAGCAGGGAATTTCAAAATCAAATATTTCATTTTGAAAAAGTATTTGGAAACAAAATGCAATCTATTGTTTTAATTTCAAGTACTATTTTGTTTTCATTTTTCACTTGGAAGTTTTGAATGAGACTTTTAGACTCAAAATATAATTTTATTTAGTTTTGTACACCCAACCCCCTAAAGAAAAACATAATTACTTAAAGCAAAATAGCCATTCAGATAAAATTGTTGGCACCTCATGCTGCTACATTGTGACCATAGATAGGAATTATTATGATGTTAGCTTGACCTAATCACTGTCTGCAGCAAAAATTACTCCAGCACTGCCCTAAGCTTTCAATTTTTCAGATTGCTGCTCATCTTCATTCTGCAATAAACTAAACTATGGTGTTGGAAAGCAAACAGAAACGGAACGGAGACTTTGGGTTATGCTGAGGCCTCCAGGTATCTCAGCAGGGCTGCAGCCTTAAAAAAGATTAGATTCTGATCCCAGCTGGTTGGGAGGAGGGATAGAAAAGGAAAAAACAATTTTAGAGTAAGAATGAATGAAAGATCTTCAAATCTCTAAGAACTCACTTGGGTCTGAGCTGACATGGTAGTATTTTAGCCTTCACTGCTGCCTGTACTCTAGAGGTGCACACAGCAGTTCGGTGGGCTAAGCACGTGGCTTTGAGTTTTTAAAGAGTGGTCTGAATTTGGGTGAACATTTGAAGTGTTGCTAGTTTTCCAGCCCAACTAGAAGCTCCTAAAAGCATGCATCTGTGGTAAATTACACATGCAGCATGTTCAAGGAGGTTATTTCTAAAGTTATTACTGCAAAATTAAATTATGAATGACAGTGCAGTGCCTCTATTGCTTGCTGGGCTGCAGCCATAAGTATGATCAATGCTATTTGTTAATGAGGCAGCAGTTTCTAGGTTGCATTTTCCTTTACACCTCCACTGTGGTGTTACTAGGCTCAGCCTTCTGCCATCTGTTGGTCTGGTGGTTGGTGGGTACAAACCTGTAGCAAAGCTGCAGCAGGAGAGAGAGCTTTTTATAGCCTGGCAAGTGTTTGTACCTTGGTGAATATGAAGATACTCTTTGTGTAATACCATGTTTGTGATTCCTCATGACAGAGGATGGATATGGATGTTAAATTTTTAGAACCCTTTTTTCTTTCAGGTAGCATCTTGTACCGTTAGGTCATGTTTCCAGCTGTTCACAACTGCCTGCAATTTCTGTCCCAAAGTCCCCTCTTGCATCCAATGGAGCCATGGCATTTTAATTCAGAGCACTTGAAATACAGTGCCAAATGACATCCTGATATCTGTATTTGAAATAAAGTGGGTTACAGAGCAAAATCCAAGACGGAATTAGGTCTGTTAGCTCAACTATATCAGTTTAAACTCCTCACTTGCAAGCTGGGTGACCTGAACAACTGACCTTAACCTTCACATCAGCAGCAGCTGTCCTTGATTCAGATGTTTTCAGAGGTTTAACAAGGAGGATTGAGATTTTCAAAAGTGACTGGTCTTTTATTGATGTGTCCATTGTTGTCACTGTTAAACCAGCATAATTTTTAAGCTAAGGAATTAAAAAGGACTTACTGTTCTTAAGAATTATTTTTTAAGAATATATAGAATAAAAAACTATCTAGATGTTAAGGATGGAGGCAGGAATACAGACTGCTCTCTGGATCTTTCTGACTTGTCTGGACCAGAGAAATCAGGAAGATCATGCAAGAGGCTGGCCAACAGAATTCCTTCCCTAACAGTCCTTAATAAATCGAGGAAAGTTCAAAATGCACTTTTTTAGCTTGGAACCAGCGGCTTCTGGAATTTCTCCATCATTAGTTAGCATCTATCACTCTTCCCAAATCTGTTTGAATACCTGTTTTCCCAGAAAAGGTTTAGTTGTCTCAAAAAATAAGCAGATCTCCAAGGCAACTACAGCATTTAAAGGAACAAGCAAATGATGCTTGAGACTGTGGAAGGACAATAGCCATCTGAGTCAGAGGTTTTCATTAGATGATTTAAGTAGCTTTGGGGTTTTAAGTCATTCCTCCAGCAGATGTCTCATCTTACATTTTAATGTAAAGACAGAAATTTTATTAGGAAGTATGTCACAACTCAGAATGACTGCAAATGGAAGTAAGTAATTAGAAAGGAGGTAGGTGAATTGGAATGTTATTTAGCTTTTTTAAGAAAAAACTCTCCTCTGCTCAGTTGAGCATTTCTGCAGTGTATTTATACTACACTGAATGCTCCAAAGTTTCACACAGGCCGGGTGCTTGAAAAGGCACATTTGCTGGTACATTTATGCCCATGCCAGCAGGCAGACTTTGAAGACTAGCAGGCCCCCCCTAATTGAAGGCTTCTACATCAACCATTAAAGCTGACAGGAGGATTTCCACTGATTTTGAGAACCGAATCAAGTTCTGCACATTGGGTTTTTGGTAGAGGCACAACACACTGAATGGCATCTTTTTTTAAAGCAAAGACTCCTTGTGTTTTCATCTACTGTTCAGGATTTTGACTCTGGGAAGAGGACTTTGTAGTACTGAGGAAAGTCATGTCTGCTTTGCTTCTTTTGTATTAATAGCTCTCCTTCTTGTTTTTCCTGTCCCTCAGGGTACCCAGGAACTGGTTAAACAGGTGAAGAATTTGCCCCAAGCCAACTATAACCTCCTCAAATACATATGCAAGTAAGTGAAATTAATTTAACACTTGGAAAAGTCATTAAGTTTTGTGAGGTTCAGTCTTACATGCAAATAATTTACTCTGAAAGTATGAATATTGAAACACCACTTACATGTAGGTTATTGCTCCTATAAAACATGTGGAGGTGAATGTGCAGCCTGCCTATAGGAAGCTCTTGGTTTATCCAAGACCATCAGCCAAGCAAATTGCTGTCACCCACAGCCTTGGCAGCAGGCATGAATGATACTAATATATTATATTGTATATTTCAGAAGCACTTAAAGACCAGTAAAGAAAGGCATTTTTTCCAGGTACTGCACACTTGGAGGATTTATGACACAAGCTGAGTAGCAGATGCAGTCAGAATAGCCAGTCTGGCCTCAGCTCTGGTTTGGAAGTGGGGTTGGGAGTGGCTTCCTCTCGGAGTACCAGGGACTCCACAGCCTTCTCTTCCCTCATCTCTCTGCTGACTCTCCCGGTTTTTGCGAAGTGGGCTGGAATGTGTTTTGGGAGCTGGAGTGGACTGTTACCCTAGAAACAACGTGATGCACTTTATGTTGTATTCTAGTCTCCGTGGTAGTGAGTCCCTTTATGACCAGTGGGATTTGCACATCTGGAGCAGGCAGCAGACACAAACACTGACGTGAAGCCTGTGACTTATTCAAGATATGTCAAGCCCTTTCCAAGTGTACAGAAAGATAGCATTTCTGAAATGTATTTTTTCAATACTTTAAAAAATTTATTTTGTCTCACTATTTGCTTCTATAGCCTTTTGTTTTAATATATGACCACCTCAAAACATGAATGACTTGGGCAGGGGAATATAATTATACATGTTTCCAAGCGAAGAATTGAGGAAAGGAAAGACAAGTAGAATTTGCTTCTGACTTAGTGAACAAAACCGAGGGTCTGTGGGTCTCAGCACAGTGTCTGCCCTAAGGCAAAGCTGCAGAAAAAATGGGAGTGCCTAGAAAAGTCATGTTGCAAGTAAAAGCATTCAGAAATTCACCAAGTATTGCAGAATGACAAGAAAACTTTTTCCCTGCCAAAACCTATTCAAGCATCCAAAAATTAACAATAGTTCAGGAAACGCAGTACAAACAGAGTGAGACTGCTCAGTGTTGAGGCCACTGCGTCCTATTTCCTGCTATTGTAGGTTTGCATGTCCTTTTTGCAACTTGGCTAATTACGTACAAGCTGTTGGTTACAGCCTTTCTCTTACTGTAACTGCTATTGGGAGTTTCTAATATTGACTGTTAGAAACTTTCTGCTGATTTCCAGCTTATACATATGGATAGCCAATCTGTCCGGATCTTCACGTGCTCTCTTTGGCTTGTGTGATCTTTTTCTTGTGTCGATGTTTGCCCAGCTGATGCAAGAAGCATTTGGGCTACCTCTCTTTCTCTATTTTGTTAGATTCAAGCAACAAAGCTCTTTCCACAGGTTGCTAGTTCTAGGTCAAGGAGATGAGTGAAATGTCTTTTTCTGTTATATCTATAAGTGAAAAATGGCAGAAGTCAATCTGTGTAATCAGGGAATTGCTATAAAAATGTGAAAAACTCTACTTTCGTACCCAGTAGAAGGCTGGATCCCTGGTACCATTGGCAGAAACCATCCTATCCTCTCACGTTCATACACTAGGAGAGATCTGGGGGTTTCACTGAGTATCTAAGCTGCATTAGTCCCTAGGAGCATTTCAGGTACCAGGGTTGTATAAACATAGGACAAAACTGTTCCTGCCCCAGAATTCCCACAGTCTGAGAAGTGACTTACTTATTATTCCTCTCCTTCTTTGATTTTTCTGGGGGGGCTTTTCAAGGTTCCTTGATGAAGTTCAGGCTCACTCCAGCATTAACAAAATGAGTGTCCAGAACCTGGCTACAGTATTTGGACCAAATATATTACGACCCAAAATGGAAGATCCGGTGACCATGATGGAAGGTAGGTACTACTCTTGTGAGATACACACCACCTTTTTTTTGGAGCTCTAAGAGTATGCTGGAAGTCATACATTCGTTGGTAGCTGTATCCCTTGACTGCATAGTCAGCAACAAGTCAAGCAATCCCTTTCATCGGTGCCTGTGAGGGGATGTACCAGTTGGCCTCTGTTATCGCTGAGGCCACTTATCACTGGCCTGGCAGTGTCTCTCCACTACATGGAGATGCCTTTGCCCTGTTGTCAGTTGTTATGTGAAACTCTCTCTGAACCCACTGCTAACATGAAAGCTCGAATGTTCTTCAGAAGGACCATGTTTAAGTATCAAAGTGCTATCATTTAGTATTGGTGCATTTGGGCGGTTAGCTGCCCGTAAAGGACATCCAGTCCACAATGAAAGAGGTACTGTAGTTTTTGCTGTGCTACAGAACTAGTTAGAAGTGTTGTCTTCTAAGCAGGCTGTGTATGGGTCAGAACTTCACAGAACCCAAGGGGTAAGTTGAAAATCACTGTTAATTTTGGACATAAAAATCTGAAGCTTGAAATTATCTTCCTTCATATGGGTCAGGAAATGCTCAGGGCATGATCTCTGTCTGCCTGACACTAGGGATGGGGCACAGCCCCTCTCCCAGCTGGCACTGGAGCACAGCTACTGTGGTGCAAGTTTTAGTAGGGTCTTTGCATCAAGTTTTGTGGGAACCTGGCACTGCAAAAAGAATTGATGGATTCATCCAGCATTAAGGACAGATGGAGATGCTGTGCCCAGGCTGTCTGAAATCAACCCTGGCACTGCTCCCTAGCTGTCAGGGGCAGCTGACATGGTGTCCTGCATGATGGAAACCTTCACAGAAAGCCAGTATTATTTTGCCTTAGCAGCAGCAGTGCCTTTAGCTCTGCACAAGTGACCTCTTAAAGGCACTGCAGATGTGTGCTCCACAGATGATAACCCACTCACTATAAGGTAATAGACCAATTTCAGAGCATGGCCTGACATACTAGAGTTGTTCAGGGGCTTGAAGCCTGACGCAGAAATGTGAGCTGTATTATTAAGGGTAGCTTTGAGACCTCCCTCGAGGGGGAGAAGGTGCAGAAATGTGGGGAGGAGAAAAAGGGAGTGCAGGAGCAGATGGTCGGGTTTTCAGCATCACAAAGGTGGGGATAGCTGAAACCAGTCTGTTGTGTGGTGCTGTGACTTCCCCTAGTGGCCAGTTGGCCAGCGTTGAGAAGTCTCTTACCACCTTGGCCAACAACATGCTTTTTGTTCAGTTGGTACAGAGGACAAGTTTGGGTTCAGTTCACCTCAGGCATTTCATTATGCAGTTCAGCAGATGGCAGAGGTGCTGGCACTGTGTATAGGTGTGCTGTGGTCTCATGGTCTCTCCTAATCATCATATGAAAATGTGACAGTGATGTGACCTGGAATTCTCTATTGCCACAGACTGAACTGTAGAAAAATGGAGATCCAGTGACTGGATTTTTAGATTTAATCATTGTACTCATAAGCAACAGCACTGGAAATGTTTTGCTTTATTGTTAGTTGAGGATAGGAGATTGGTTAAATAGAAATAATAGAGAAGTGGGAAGACATGCAATATATTTTTTTTAATTTCAGGGTAATATAACAGTTAAATAAACTGTTAGAAAAATACTGCTGCTCATTCTTATCAAAAAGCACTTTGATTGTGTCTCTTTTCAAACTTAAGCCATGAATTTCAAATAGAAGTATCTGAAGTTTGACAGCTAAATTGTTAGGAGTGACCTTACCTTCAGAGAGGTTTATTTCTCTCCCTGCACTCACAGACATAAAATAGGAGTTGCAGGTGAGCTCAGGCCAAAACCTCATTATTAAATTCAAGCTGTTATCTTGAACCCCTGAATAGGTTAGTCTTATTCAGAGAATGATTAAAGATATAATTAATTACATATTTGCTCTTTTTAAGGATTTCCGCTTTTGTAGAAAGTGCTTTGTATTAGGTTTGTAAAGTGGTGTTCTCTATTAGTTCATAATGGTTTCTACTACTGAGAGCAATGACAGCTCATTTCTGTGGATTTAAATAATTGCAAGTACTTTCTGTACTTGCCATACACCTCCTGCAGGTGCACGTATCATACAGACATCACACTTTGCTCAAGTTTCTCAATACACTAAGAGTGGACCAGAAGGCCTGAGCTAAAATTTCTGGTTCTTCAGTAAACCCTAGCTCTGGCCCTGTTAAGACTATGAAACTGGGTGAAACATAGTTGTGGAAACCTGCTGGTTTTGGAAGCTGGACAGAGAGGTGCTCCATCCTAGCTAATAGGTTAATGTGTTCAGGATCCAGCATGCATCTCTACACAGGGCTGGGCGGACCTGCATGGATGCACATGTTGATTGATGCTGGCTCTGAACCCCAGTCTTGGTGGGGTACAGACATGTACTGTTTTCCAGGTGTCGTCCTCCTCTTTCATCCTTAAAAGGTGTCCTTACGCAGACCAATGTATTAATGCTACTGATCACTTGTAGTCTGCTAGTCAGCTACATTAGTGAGCTGGACTGATACCTGCATCCCTCACAGTCTCCATTTCCAGCACTGGGAAAAATTCCTGTCTGTTGCAGTCCTGTGCAGGAAGGCCCAGAGCAGATGTTTGTGCAGACCCATTGCAGTGCATGGTGGCCACAGACCTGCCTCACAAGGAGCTCACAGACAGGGAGTGAGTATCTGAGGTCTTCAATGTCTCATCAACTGCTTGCCTTTGTTTTCTCCCCACAGGCACCTCACTAGTTCAGCATCTGATGACAGTGCTGATAAGCGAACAGGGGCGAATCTTTGCTGTTCCTCAGGCAGATGTGCCAGGGAGCCAGCTGGAAATCAGACCTGTGCGTCAGCGCAGTACTGTGGAGTGGATCTCCGAGGAGGACGGGGAGGACAGCAGGTCGGAGAACAGCGTTCCCAACCCCGCTGATTTGCCTTCCAGTATGGCTGTGGCACTAGAGGCCACTCCTGGACCTGTGGGGAAAAACACTCCTTCAGAGCACAGTGGCAAATTGACTCAGCCTGCCACCAGTCCCAACAAAAGAGTGCAGACACTGCCTCCGTGGAAATACTCCTTCCGCCAGCAGGGAGCACGGTCTGTGAGTCCAAAGCTGGGCAGCTCATCCTTAGATATCCCCAATCTCTCCTCCAGTGGGAACTGGTTAATGAATGGACTGTACTCTCTCCGAGGCCATCGCCGGACAGCATCTGGGGAACGAGTTAAAGACTCGTGTTCTTCCCAGAGATGCAGACACTGCCTCCGTGGAAATACTCCTTCCGCCAGCAGGGAGCACGGTCTGTGAGTCCAAAGCTGGGCAGCTCATCCTTAGATATCCCCAATCTCTCCTCCAGTGGGAACTGGTTAATGAATGGACTGTACTCTCTCCGAGGCCATCGCCGGACAGCATCTGGGGAACGAGTTAAAGACTCGTGTTCTTCCCAGAGACTTTCTACTTACGACAACGTCCCCTCGTCCAGCCTCTCCCTTAGCACACACAGTATGGCCAGCACCACGTGGTCTACATCATCATGTGAAATCTCCGTGGTGGACTCGGTCAGCAGCTGCCCAGCCTGCCGGGCCAGTGACTCTTCCACTTTAAGCTCTCTCAAAACCGAGTGGATAACTCAGGGCTCGCTGTCTCAGAGTGAGGTCAAGACTGCAGATCTGGAGAACAGCATCGAAAGGTTTGAAGCATGCAGCAGCAGCAGCAGCGAACAGAGCAACACGGCTGCAGCTTCCAGAGACTCTGTCAAATGCTCTAGGGCCTTACAGAGCTTGGTGGTGGAACTAAAGACAGAACTGAGCAAACAGAGGACTGAATATGAGACTAGTATCAAAAGGTAATGTCACCTGCAGGGGGGACAAAGGAAGTCGTCTGTCACCATTACCCCTGTTCGAACATGGGTGTGGGCTACCAAGCATATCAGGTTCTCAGACCTGGAGTTTGGGTTTGGGAGACAGCAGATTTCATTCTGCTCTTTCCTCACTGCTCTCTGAATCCAACTTTTCTCTCTCTGCTCTGAGAGAAGATTAAAAAAATGGGATTTCTGTCACAGCGGGAATTCCAATATTTCACATTCTGTGTTTTCACTGGAAATCAGAATTGCACAGGTAATGCCAAAGTCTGCTTTTTGTTAGTGGCCTGGGAGAAACAGCAAAGCAAACATCTGTCTTGCAGGGAGGGCTTGGGACCTAGGGTGGTCAGACCTCAACAAGGCACTCTGTTGGTCTCTGCAGGTGCAGATAGGGGGCGTTGTTTTTTTAAGATGCCCTACTGATGCAGAGTGGGAGGGAGAAAAGGGTATGTGCCTTGTGCCTTGCATTTAATTCTCCAGAGCTGCCCTAATAAGCCTTGTTGCAGGGATACAGAGTGAAAAACAGAAAGGAGACCAGGCTGCAAAACTTGGAAACATGCATCTGCACATTTTTACCTGCTGCCTGGGGGAAGAGATGGCTTTCTACCTCTTTATCAGTAAAGCTGTTCCAACAGGGCCTTCAGCTGTTTACATCAGGGACATCCAGGAAGACCTGTTCTTTATTCCAGCTGTTGAGCATTTTCAGCTGTTCCAGCTCTAACACCTGTCTTTCCCCTTCAGCTGGACAGGGACAGAGCACCATGACTGGAGGGGAGGACTGTATATTGGCTGGGTCTCACAGGGCAAAGTAGCTGAGAGGAAAATGCCTAATGAACTCATAGTTTCATAACACCGGGCAAGATGCAATCACTGCCTTTTTGTATTAAACAGGATGACTCCAGCTGTTCAGGATTACAGCCTGAAGGATCTTGCTGTCAAGTCTAAGAATTTCAAGCCAAGTTTTTCAGCCCTCAAAAATTTTGCAATGTTTTTACTACATCTGCAGCAATTTACATGTGCAAAAATATGTTCCTTTTGAGAATGCATGAAAGTCTGCTCCTGTGGAAAGACAGGTGCTAACTAGCAAAGGAGGGAGGCTGCTTAGCAGGAAAACTTTGGGCTGTGTTACTAGCTTTATTTTATTGAAGATTATTTAGTCCCCAAAAGTAATAATTAGGTCCTTTACAATTGTACACGTGCTTGTGTGGTTTGCAGAACTCGGTGTGTGTAGCAGGGCATGTTTTAATGAAGGAATATGAGCTTTTTGTTGGCACATACATAAGTGGAGGGAAAGCAGAGTCAGTACCTGCCTGGGGCAGAGGTAAGGAACACTTGCTGATGGAAAAGCTGTTATTTATCATCATCAACTGCCCATTTTCTCTTAGTCAGAGGGAGGCAAATTTTATGGCCTTCCTGTAACCAGCCTGTTCCAGAGCATTTCTCCCCCAAGGTTAGTATAATTATCAGGCATTCTCTGCTGGGTTTCAGTAATTCACATTTACCACCTGGCACTCTTAAGAAACTGGAAGTATCTTGGAGAGGACTATGCTGTTGTGTAGGTAGAAATGCAGGTATGTACTGTGACACTATGTAATGCAGAACATGGACAGCTCATCTAGGCTGCTGTAGCTGACCCCTCACCCTTGTGGTGGAAAAATTTAATTGTATGTAGGATGTAATGAAAATATTATAAAGGGGGTGTGTGTGTGAGGGAGGCATCCTAGCTACAGAAAAGTCCTCCTGTATTACAGAAGAAAAGAATCTGGGTGATAAAATTCTACCTTCACTGAGATGGGCAGGTTTTTTGCAGATGTAGTACATACTTCTGTTTGCTCATCAGTGCAGCTTTTGGTCTGCTGGACTTTGTGATCAGGGCACCTGTGTGTGACTTTCTAATCTGTTGTGAAAGTTGTGACAATTACAATGTTGCCATCCTTAGCTGTATGTGAAGGAAGAGTTTGAAGGTGCATTGCATTGCCTGTAAAATTGCCTCTTGGTGGTTACAAAGTGGAATTCTGGGACAGTCACAAAGGTCCCATTCTTTTGTTGTGGAGGCTGTAGCATGTCCTTTTTGAGTGTCATTTACCCTGTCTAAAAAGAACCCTTTCACAGGGAAGCCAGGCACCCCAGCTTTACAGATGGGTGTTATACTGATCACTGAACCCAAGAGGTGGTGGGTTTTTTCCTTTTGTGTGTGTGTGTCTGGTTTTTTTCTGGGTTTTTTTGTTGTTGGTTTGGTTTTTTTTTTAAGTTAGAGGGGAGACACTTTTCTGAGGCAAAGCCTTATTTTTTAAAATCATCCTTTCGGAATATTCTAGTGATCAGAAATTCCTATCTGGATATACTCCCTCCTCTGTAGTAACACCACTACTCTGTCTTGCGATTAGGAAACATGATGGGGAGGACAGCAAGTGATGTGCCATCTGCGCTTGTTTCAAATAAAAACCCCCACGAACATTGTTCTTTGACCTCCTTAGAGGAAAGCTCCAAGTCTTGCATTAGAGCTTTATGCACAGAAAAATTTAAGGTCTGTTCTTCAGAGTCTTATTCATATGAAATGTTTGGTTTTGTAAAATCTTGTCCAGTATGAAAAACTTCTATTCCCCCACCCCAGTTTCAGTGGCAAACTTTACAGAAAATACCATAAAATGGATGGTGAGGAAGGACTGTGACCTGACCTCCAAGGATGTTCCTCCGTACTGGATATCCATATCCAGGGATATGGAAACACAGTATCAGGATGAAAGCAGAGGTTAAAAGAGTAATTTGAAATTATATACTTGAACTCAGCCTGACTGAGGAGTTAATGCACCTCCTCAGACATTCAGTCTGTTGCCCAAAAGTAAGCATTGTTTTGTAAGACCTGAGCATATTTTCTCAAAATACCAACAGAGAAGGCTCCTCCAGCTTTCAAGGAGCTTAATCTCCACATTAATGAAGGGGCAATTAGTGACCTCCTTTAAAACTTCCTCTTAGAATGAAGATATTTTAGCTCGAAGTGGAACAACTTATGTTTATTATAGCTAGCAGCAGTATTTATCCAGCCACCTAAAAACCCTCTTTTTTTCTTCTCCTTCTCTCTCTTTCTTCTTTGGTTTTAAGAATCCAAGAAACAAGTGCAGACCTGAGGAAACAAGTGGTTAGGTTAGAAGAAGAACTGGACCAAGAACGAAAGAAATACACAATGCTGGAGATCAAGCTGAGGAATTCTGAACGTGCTCGTGAAGATGCCGAGAAGAGAAATCACCTCCTGCAGAAGGAAATGGAAGAATTTTTTTCAACATTAGGATGTTTAACTGCTGGGAGTCAAAGTGCTAAAGTCCCCAAGTAGAAGAAGCTGTTGTACAGCATAGAAAATTCCATTTCTGGCAAAACCAGTGAAAATGCACTTTTTGTTCTGGTATACTCATGTATCATGAGTAATTCTACAGTGATTGTGCTCTCAGTGACACTTGCTCTGTTGTCTTTACATGTGCTGTAGTATTTGGGCCAGCTGGGAAAGACTGCTAAGCAGAATGCTTGAAAGTTTAGATGTCAGATTGTCAAGAAAGAGTGGGCACCCTTTTTGTCCACAACTCAAAAGATACTATTCTCCTGTACTGCTGCCAGTAGAGGATTTACTGAACCATCCTTTTGCTGGCTGAAGGATGGTGGGAAGTTCTGCAAGGTGAGTGGGGTGGCCAGAACCGATGGACAGGCTGAACCTGGAACTGAGGGCCTCTGGCACTTGCACTTGGAAGATGGCAGTTCCAGTATGTCACCACATTCAATGTGGTTTAGCATATGGATTTAATTAGGTGGTTTTTTTCTCCTCACTCCCTACATAAAGTTTGTTCAAATTTCTCATTCCTTAAAGTGGCATTATTTTATGAAGGTAATGTGAAAATGAAGCCTACAAATGATACCAATACCCCGACAGTTCACTAAAATTGTCCCTTACGCACCAGTCAGTTCCAGTGTTTCACAAAAATGCAACTTAAACTTTATATGATTAATAATCAGATTGGCCACACAGACTTCATGGAACTTTAAATATGCACATTTTGCCCTAGGTGTCTGGAGGGGGTTTTTTTGAGCCAAAAATGGAGCAGTAGTAGCTGCAAGAAAAAAAATCCAATGAATTGGTATGTACTGATCAGACATCAAGGCAGGAGAAGAAAGATTCTTATCAATACACATCCAATTGCTGAAGGTTTTATAGATAAAAACTTCAATAGCAAAACCTATGTGAAGAGAAATTCGTGCAATTAGGGTGAGGAAAAATAAAGGGGAAGGGTGGAGATCCATCTTTAACCTTCCTTGGACAATTTACACTTAGCTGCCTTGTAACACTTCTCATGACACCAGCTGATTTTTTTTATTATTAGTTCACAGGAAGATGAGGGGACAGGAGGAGTATTGCAAACAACCCAACAGCCCAAGTTAATTACTCCTACTAAAGAAAAATCATCAGAATAAAAGTTATAATTTCCAGTCAGTAGCTGCAAGGGCTGACTTCCCCTTCAAGAGACAACTTCGAGAAGTTCTGCATAACATTTCTAATGCCCCAAGCCATGTGGAGCCTGCACACAGAAAATCATTTCACCAGATTCAGCCTGAACTCCACTTGCCAGCCCAGTACTCACAGCACTGTTTGCTCTCTCTTGGCATGTACCTTTGACAGCTGAGGCAGCTAGGAAATCTCAGAGGAGAAAGATTTTAGTGGAAAAGTGCCACAACAACATGAGCTGCCTAAAAGGCAGGTATAGACTGTAGCGAGGGTGCTTGCTTTATTTGAGTATTTTCAGAAAGTGACCTGAATCTGTCCTCTTTTCCTGCTAGAGAAAAATGTAACTTACTTATTGTCTGGAAATAACCTTACACTGGGCTTTCTTAAGTACCAACAGCTCACACATCTTTCTCTTCATCATCTCACAGATATTTCTACAGAAACAGGGTGTTTCAGTATTTAAAACATCTAGAAGTTAACTTATTTCTACCTCACTGCAAGGCTTCTCCTTCCTATAGAAATGTAAACCATTTAAAGTGAGCAAAAAGAAACATTTTAAACTTAGCTTTCCTAGTTAAGTTAAGCAAGGCAGTAAAGTAAGCTGTGTGGATAAGTTAATGCAGTTATTTCAGAACATCTTCCCTTCTTCCCAGAACACGCAGCTGGGCTGGATTTCTGCCTGCCCCCGGCACAGACAGTGTGGCAGGTACCTGCAGGCAGCAGCTTCACCCTCTGCTTTTATTTTCCACCACCCTGCCTCACTTTGTGTTATTACTGATAGTCACAACTGATCCTAAAGGCACATGATGGCCTGTTTGTAACAGTAGCATGAACAAGCATAGTGAGTTGGGCAGGTAGCGTTAAGTGCCATGCCAGTCATCACAAAATAAACCTTTTAGTAGAGAGTGGCCTGAAGTGGGTTGTAAGTAATCCTCTGCAATTAGAACATCAGGACTAGTAAAAAGAAATGTTTCTACTATCTGAGGCATTCAGTCCAAGTTATTTTAATACCCTCTTTGATTTCTACCCACAAAATGGGTACTTTTCACCATAGCCATCCTGACAGCCCACATCCCTTAGACTATTTCTATTGCATTATTTCCTGTACATATCAAGTGCAGGCTGCTGCCTTTAGTTCTGGCATGCTACAAACTTAAGAACAGAGCCATGCTGACTGGGAGCCTAAAAACCAAATGCGCAGGACAAGCACGGAACAGGACTGCTGGCTAGCTCTCAGTGAAATCAAATGCACCTGGAATTCTAAGTATTATTTAAAGCTGGGTAACTGCTACATATAGCAGAACTGGGGAACAAACCCACCTCTCCCAAATCTTCAGGTCCAGGATAGGACCATCTGTCAGTTATGCAGGACTGCATACTCTTAATCCAGCATCCAGGATAAAATTCATTCCTCTCTTCAGCTTCACAATTGAAACTGTAACCACGCAAAGCGATTAAAGGCACTAACCTTTTTCTGGTTGACTCCTGTGCTCCGGAAACAAACATCTATGCCTCTTGTTCACAAGGAATAAATTTCATGTCCTTTTGAAGATGATCCACTGCAATAAATAAAGCCTGCAAGAAGCTGCAAACTACCCAGTTCATGCTAAAACACACCACAGTGGGATGTTAACTCTAAAGCACAGCAACAGGAGCACAATGTTAATTTCCTGTCATGGGCAATTATGCAGGAAATGGGAACACACCTGTGCTGTTGTACACAACCTCAGGGAAGACTATGCCCGTATTTGAGGAAGATGCTACACTTTTAACTCCTGTTTCTGTACTCTCTTTCCCACCGCTTCATTTGCTAACTTCATGTATCTGACAGGGCATGCCTTATTTTGCAGACCTTTAGCTTATTACAGCCCCTAGTTAAAAGTGCCAGCTTTCTTAGTAAGCATTTACAAGATACGGGTTTGTAAGTATTAATAAGACATGACAGAAGGCTCCTGGAATCAGGCAGATACATGTTTACCACAGCTTTACCTGTACAATCTTCCCAGCCTGGAACATCCCTTCCAGTATTATGCAGGCAAAGGGGTGTAAAAAATTTTTAGTGAAAGAAATCCAGCACAAGCATATGCTTTAAAAAAGACCCCAAAGCCAAACAGCAGCATTCCAGAATAACAAAACACTTCTGTAGGTCTCCATGGTATTTCTGATATGAAAAGGAAAAATAATAATGATAGCTTATTGATAGCTGAGCCCTCCTGTTATATACTAGCCAGCCCCTGGCTTACCTCCTTCTGCACGGCAGGGTCTCGGCACCTGTATTTCCAGGAAAGAAGGCAGCTGGAGTTGGCAGCAAGGAAGTAAGAATGGATCCCCAGCGGTCACCAACACAACTGGCATTATCAGTCTGTGGCACAGCCAAAGCCCTTGGCAATGGGGAAATGGAAGAAACATGTCACTTTGCCCACGAGTGAACTCACACACAAGACAGGATTTTAAGTACAATTAAAAACAGATGCATTCTCAGGAAGGACTGATGCTAATAAAACCCGACTGCAGCCTGATCATGAAATCCATACGAAATCCATTCCAACCTAGTAATGAAGAAACACTAAATGCATAGTGGTCAAACTTTTTTTTTTTCCTTTTTTATTTAAAATATCATTATAACCAATTGACATACTAGATAACAATGTATACATTCCAGTGGTGCACATGTAATGATCTATGGCATGAATGATTAAAAAAACCACAATGTTCTCAGTAATGCCCCACCAACAGCTTATTTGGAGGGAATAAAGGAAAAGGAGGAAAAGTTATCAAATATGGGGAAGAAGAAAAAAAAAAATTACAGTTTTTCCCAGTATTTTTAATGGCGTATCTTCCCCTTTGTATTTCTTGGACAAAATAAAATTAAGAATATATTTCAAAAGGGGCAGAAGGAATGATCACAATAATTAGGGTTTTTTTCTCAACTTTAGTAATAAAAGTTAAAGAACTCTCAAAAATAGACTAGATATTGGGCCTACAAAAGTAATTCATCTGTATGCAAAGCTTACCAAGAATTATTCCTTTTGTAAAATGTAAAGGATGAGCTGACATTACTAGTAAGCTATTTTTACCTACAAAACCAGACTACAATAGTAAAATCACCAATTTACAGCTAACACAATATTCTAGATGTACATTATTGTACACAAGCTATATATTACACATGAACATCTTACGTGAAATATATAAGAAACATACTTACTGATATCGTCTCAACATTGGCCAATGGGTTTATTTTTCTAAAGGAAGTGTATTTTTCTATTCACATTCAGTGTAGTTCCAAGAGCAAGGGTTAGCTTTGCTTACTTAAGAAACGTAGAAAGTTTGCGTGAGGTAGTTCAAGAAAACCTAGCTTTAAATTTTTAACTGCAGAAGTAGAAACACAATGTGATCTGATTCAAAACACGTTTCTGTAATGCAGAGATATCTAAAGAGGAGGAGAAGGGAGTGAAAGAGATCACTTAAAATACCACTTTTATCCAGTGCCCTTAACTAAGAATAAATTAAATTAATTTAACATTTGGGGAGGCAGTAGAGTCTCATCAAATTTCTCCATTAAAATTCTCTTTCTAATCTTACTGAAAAATGCAGACAGCTCTCCTTCAACTCCAGTCCTCAAACTAAATATGTAAGAACCAAAACACTGACAGGAAAATAAAATGTGACAGCTGGACAAGCTGCTGTGAACAGCAAATAAGAACATATCTAGAAACAGTAATTCACTTCCTTTAGCAACTTGAAACAGTAAGACCAAGCATAAGCTGAACTGTCTTCTCCTCTTTCCCCCATAATCTTAATTGAGACACATTTAGTGTCACACACTCTGGATTACTGGCTGAGTAGGAACTATCCTCCTATACTAGGTTTTTGATCTTTTCTTTTTTAA